ATTTCTGTTCTGAATCAGTGAGGAGACTGAGGTGTTGAAAACTGCAGAGGAAAAATTAACATCTATTTAAGTAGTAATAATTATGATTGTCAGTCTTATAGTACATCTGAGAATTGTATTAAAGAACCACAACATGATTATTTTGTAGAGTTTTAAGGTGTATATACTTTTTTTTTTTTTTTGACAGAGTAGATCAAGATTTATAGGCTATCTTCAGAAATTCTGAAGTATAGATATGAAAAGGAAATATTAAGTATTGAAGACCATATTTTAAATACTAGAAAGACAGTCTTTCCTGGTGTAATCATTGATGCAGTCATTTTATGGTAATTATCTTTCAGATAATGTGAGAATTGAAAAACTTTCCACAGCTCTGTTTTCTAGCTGAGGCCATTCTTGTGCATTAGGATGTCATCTCTTGGTGTAATAAATGTGAATGCATCACTAAAGAGGGAAGAAGCAGAGAAATGAAATGGTTAAAATGCCCTAACTGCTTGTTTTGAAATATCAGTAATAGAACCATATATCCAAGGAGCCTCCCTAGAGACTCACTGATGCAGTGAAGCTCAGCTTTACTTGATTGCCGTCACAAGCAGCAAAAAGTCTTATTTTACTGGCTCTCCACACAAGCAATACTTGGTGCATGCTAATAATATGTGTTGCATTGATAACAAAGAAAATTATTTTTAGTCTTGTATAACAAATTGATAGATTTTCTGTATCTTTTGGAACTGATTGGGATTTAGCAACTTGATGAAAACAATATGATTGCACTTTAGCACTGGGATACTGTTTGATGTGCCTGAAAGCTACTCTCCAATCTTATTTTTGTAGTCTCATCTTTAAAGGCTGTGCACAACAGCTTAAAAACGCATGTTTAGAAACCACCTAGCTCTGAGAGATTGTCTGGAGCCTGTTCAATTTGAGTACCAGCCTGGGAGAAGTTACATGAAGCAGGATGCATCCTTCATGCCTTTTGTATTCGGAGGCTCATCCTGACACGTCCCTGAGAGAGAGCTTGGAAAAAGGAAAGAGGATTCTAGGGAGGGTCTTGTGATTGCCTCCCCAAAGCCTCTACTGCAGCAGCTAGTTTTACAGTATGATACTTAAGTACCTACCAGTCCTAACCATTCCTTCTATTGGGGATCCTTCTATCCCTGAGTAGAAGGGAGCATACAGCATGCATCTACAATTGGACACACAGTTCAAAGACAGCAAGAACTGTAAGGTTTGTTCTTTCTGCGATGAATTATTCATTTGACTGACTATTAATTTCTCTATGCAAAGCACTTGGGGGTTTAAATGTCTACATACATACATAAAATCCTGCATAAGACTCACTGGACATGATGGCAACCCAATGTACTTTCCTAGGACATGAAGTAAATCTGTATTACAGGTGCAAGAGTGTTGTATCCAATACTCCTGGTAGCTGCAAATGATCGCTGTTAGGAAATACCACTGAGCTGTTATCCCTGTGGCTACACACTTATCAACAGCACTCCATGTTGTCCATCTGTTCTATGTCTGTATTAGCAAGTAAATCAATACCACAGGAGGGGTTCATCAGATAGGAGTAGTTAGTGCTGGGATTCTTACATCGGTGTGTAGTATTTTTCACTGTGTTAAATTTTAGTCTGAACCAAAAGTGCTTTGCAGTTACGTGGATTGAAGATATCTGAAGGACGGAGAATTGCTTCAGACCTTTATCTACCCCATAGGGCTGGGGGGCACTTGATGTCCACCTCCACTTGAGCTTACAATTTAGTCTCCTCCAAAGATAATCTAATTCATGCCCAACAGGATTTCTCCAAACAAATCAAAGTACAAGAAGTGTAGGTGACCAAAAGATACACTTCGAAATCGAAGAGCTGCCTTCAGTTACTTGTGTTATCTTTTTAATGTACATGCAGCCGTGTGTAACTGTGACATCAGCCTCTGTGTAGCACACTTAAATTGTCATCTAACTGAAAAAAACTAAAGAAAAGTTCGATGCAAAAATTCTGAAGCTTTTAGCTGGCAAATGAGCAGGGTCAAATGAGCATTTCACCTACTATTCATGCAGTAATATAAATACAAAAGTTGACACTGAGCATATGGGGCACCTGGTTTGCAGGAGAATGTCTGTGTCTCTGATGTTCACTGAGAAAACCTTGGTAAAAGGGCACAGAGGAGCATTACACAGGGTTGAGGAAGTTGCTCTCCTAATCTGCAGAGCAAACTCAGAGCTCCTTCCAGCTGCACTGTTCCTGATTTCACATCTTCCATAGCATCCTGCTGTGTTATCTGGTGGGTCTTCCCACCCCATTTACCTTCCTGAAGCAGGTGAAAGATGTCCAGTGGAGATTCAAGGGGCAGAAAGACATGAGATACTGCAGGAACTGTGGGAGAGCAGTCCTGCAGGCAGGCCTTCCCCAGAGTAAAGCACTGAAATTATCAGCTATGGTTATTTTTCATACTTCAGTGTCATTATTAAAATATTACTGACGTCCACTGTTCTTGGTTGGATTTTTCCCTACTAGATCTTATTCTGTTGCATTTTTTTGTGCCCAGTTTTCTTCCATTTTATTCACTGTCAATGAAAAAAAAAAATCTCCAAATTAAGAGCACTAACAAGAAAATAAAAACTCAAAAAAGCATCCCTGAGAAGAAAAAGAACAGTCACTTCTGCTTCGTGTGTGGTTACACAGAAAATAAATTAGTCGTATAATAGGATTTAGAAGCTCGCCATGGTAAGAAGCAGCCACAGATTCAAAAGCCACAGCTCTTGAAATGAAGACTTGTTAATTATGCTGTGTTTGAGGTAGAACTTGAAATTATTGAAATCTGGTGTTTCTTGACATAATCAGATAATTAATTTTCTGCTGTTAAAGAAATCAGAATGAAATTAACTGGGAGGAAAAGGTTATCGTGCTTGCAAATAAGAGTGAATATGAGCATTGGAAGTAATGAGCTGACATGCCTTGCAGTATATCCTTTTAATAAGGAGTAGAAACTGAACCTCTCATTCAGATAGAATCACTGCAAACTCCTTTCTCTCTCTCTTCTTTTTTTTTTTTTTCCTAGCCATTAAAAAATATCAAATATATATTAAAAAAATGGTTGGACTGGATGGTTGGACTGAAAAATACGCTGGTGCATAATTCATTAGCTTAGCACCACATCAGGACTGTTGTCATTAGTTAAACAATTGCTTGCTCCTGAGACAACACGGAAGAAATAGATGGACTTTGCATGTTAATCTGCAGTGTTTTCACAGTTTGAGACAGACAAAAAAGAGAAAAATATTTCTTTTCTAATGGGAATTTTCATTCTCCAATTTGAGGCTTGCTGAAGAAAAAGATGAAATCCTTTCTAAACCCTTGTTCTACTTCAATGTGTGTTGCTTTTCTTTCTTTCCCCCCAACTTTTATTTGTTTACTTTTAAAAAAAATCTTATATTTGAACTGGTGTCTTAATTTTTTGCTGGGCTCAGTGTGAAAAAGGCAAACATACTGTGACAGACAAGGACCCAAAGTATTGTTTTCTGTCTTATTTTATTTTCCTTAAGCACTGTCCACTCTTTTAATGTGCACCTCAATTTTCTTGACATAGGAAGAGAAGTATTTTTTAAAGAATTAATCTTCATCATTTCACCCTTACTTTCTGGAACATAGACTAGTTCACGCTGTTGTCTTAAATTTCTTAATTTTATATTTTGAATTGAAGTCTCTTCTCTTTTTACAGGAAAAAAATACCTAGCACTGGAATTTTGCTTCCCTGTGGTGTAGTTGTTCAGCTTCCATAACAAATGTGTAAGATTCGGCATCTTAAATCCTTCAAGAACAATTAGCTGCTGTCCTTAATGAACAGAAAGTTGCTAATATGCTTTGTGTGTAAATGAGAGAATGGCCAAATAAAATGGCAGTCTCTTACTTCATTTACTATGTCCTAGGGGAAAATCTCTTTCTGTGTTAGCCTCCATCAAATGTATGCCAAAGTCCAGCCACTTACAAACATGAAGGCAGTGTCCCTGTTTCAAGCAGTGGGATGTCATCCAATGGAAGCTGCTGCTACAAAGGAAATACTAATTACTGAGGGATTGTTTCTACCAAAGGTAGTTTTAATTTTATGCTTAATGCTCTGAAGTCAAAATGTCACCCATTTAAAAATTGTTTTAACTATATTGCTGGAAAATCAAGTAAGTAAATCTCATCATGCATTGATTTTACTACAGATTTCCCTTATCCCCAGTGATCAAATTTTCAGATCAATTGCCTTTGAGGCTCTTGCTCTTCCATTTTTAAATATGGATGATAAGCTTTTAAAAAATTAATGTTCCTCAGCAAGCCACTGCACCATGTGTAACTTTCAGGGTTAAATCTCCAGCACAGATCAATACATGAATGCAGAAACTGTGTGATCACAGAAGCTGAAAATCTGGCCCCATGTTTTGAATAATTATTTGCTTGTCACTACAAATCTTTCTTGTTACACATTATAAAGAGAAATTTTTCTATGTTTTTAGATTGTAAGCCCAGAGGATCAAAGAAAGAGTTTCATAATTTTTCTAAAATGTGACATGCTGTTCTGCATTCAATTTCTGGCAGTGCAAATGTGGAGTACTGTGCCAACCAAATTAAAAAGTAAAAATAAAATAATAGAAAAGAAGAAAGGAAGGAAGGAAGGAAGGAAGGAAGGAAGGAAGGAAAAAAAAGAAAACAACCTTCCTTGAATATACTTTATTTTAGATGATGGGAGAGAACATGAAATAAAAACTGGCACTTGCATTTCTACTTTCATATTGCTTCAGAGAAGCATGTAACAAAAGCTCTGGAATATGGTCCTCTTTATGATCATTGTAAATCATTTTCACAGAGTAATGACTTCTTTTTTTCCTTTCCCTATGCTGGTAATTGCTTAGTTTACTATGTCAAAGTTTTTTCATGCTTTGATCTTTCCTATTCCCTTTTGTCTTTTCTAAGAAAGAGGAGCGGCCAGTCAATAAGAAGAAATCGTCATACTGAAAAAAACAACATGATTTAATTGTTGTCATTCATGGGCATTAAAATTCAGATACATTGTGAAATACAAGATAACGACAGAGAACATGAATTGATTCTAGTGACAGAATTTTCTCCCACCAACAGAAAATAGCACAGACTTTTATCCAGTTCTTAAGCTGCTTTTTAAGGTTTTTATCCAAGCACCTAGCTAGCTTATTCAAAAATAAGACAACATCCTAACATTTGACATTATAAAAGGAAATGGAGTCAGTAGCTGTAAAAATAAATAGAATTCATGTCTTCTTGCCTATCTGTGCCCATATAGCAAGTATTCATACACTTTTAATGGTTTTTAAACCTGCTTACATTAGAGCTAATTATATTTTCCTTACAAACATATTTTCATCACACTATCCCTTTAACTTTACCTGTAATAATAATATATATAATGCTGCATATCAATATAGTGATCTAAAACTAGCTTGATCCCAAGTTAGCCTACTGGGCTTTTTGTAATTAACATGACAGATGTAAATTCACGTACTGAGACTCCATTACATTGCATTTGCTTCCTAGCAAGCGGTATCTTCAGTGTGAACTTAAAGCTACAGCTGAGCGATAATTTTGCCGCTTGTGCTCACACCGCAGCCCAGCGCCGCTCCTTCCTTGCCGTGCCATGGCCTCGTCATGCTGCCAGACTGGGAGCAGCAGAACGTCTCCCAGAGCCAGGGGACGCATGGGTAGTGCAGAGCCTGCTCAGCCACCAGCCGGGCTGGGTGACGCACAGAGCGGGGTGACGTGCTACGCCCGGGCTGTCACAGCGGCAGCCCCAGGATGTGGAGGCAAAAAGCATAAGCAGGAGCAAGCCTGAGACTGCTGTGATTTAGGACCTGACCAGCCATCCCCAACATGTTGCAAAGGTGATGAAAGGCTCGCTTCGCCTTTCCTGCAGTGCCTTTGGTCTAGCAGTGAGGGCACTTCAGCCAGCCCCACGAGTGGGTTGGATGACTACATTTTTATGCAGGTACATTATAATCCCCAATCCTGCAAAAAAAATGTGTCTGGGTGAAACCCTGTGAAGGGTTTCTCTGGAGAGGTAAAAAACAAAACAAAACAAAACAAAATTCCACGAGGGTCTCTTAGCTGCTGTGCAGTAGGAACATCTGCAGGCTCCCACCAGCCAAGCAGATCTTTGGATCTGCCCACTTCGCAGCAGGTCTGGTTCTAGCTGAATGAACAACTACTCTGGGACATTCCCCATGGCTTTTCCTATTCCACAGTCTCCCTGTCCAAGCTCCAGAAGAGACTCTGAAATACTGTTGGCCTCTGTTTCCATACTTTTGAAGGTTGGATGGGGGAACAACATGTATTTCTACTGGTCACAGTCCAGTCTTGCACACTCCATTCCTCCTCTTGCACAAGTATTCTTTGTTTCTATTTCCGTTTCTGTTTCTCTTTTCTCCCAAATGTGTGGAAAAGGCTCTGGTGCCCTAAGAAAGTGTGTGAAATGGGCACTGATTTAAAAAATGGCTGATGGGTAAAGATTATGTGGGCTTAAGGGCTTGGCTTATAATTACTCTCTAATAAAAAGTAAGTAATAGAGCTCCAAGAGCATCCAGCTTTCAGTTTGAACAAAAAAGGGAAAGGAGTAGTTTGGCACCAACTTCTGTTAAATCTGAATGGTATGAGAAAGAAGTCATACTAACAGTGACTTGGAAGGATGGAGAGTTGCTTCTGAGCTTAATGGGAATGAACTCCAGCACAACATACCACACACCATGGTATCTCTCCACTACAGTCCTATTGTTTATTATTCCTGGTTTGTTCACAGGTTTTTAACATAGGACCACAGCCACTCTGGGAATCAGTTTTACTCATGTCCATGGGAACATATCTACCCTAAGCTCTTCATGAAAGATTACTGGTTGTTGCCTACTTAGATACATCTCTGTTAGATATTGAAACAGTGGGAAGATACAAAACTTTGTGCAATACAAATATTGGTCCTCTGATATCTTAAATGTCAGCAAGCATGGAATAGGAAAAGAGTTCTACATTTTTAAGTGGTAGAACCAACACTGGATAGAGAACGTCAAAATGCCTAAAAGATTACTCAAGACCAAGATGTTTTTATGAGTGGCCTCTGTTTTTTGGATATCCAGCTTGAGACACCATTAGTGGAGTAAATTTTCAGAAAGCCTTGAGCACCTGCTTTGTGGAAATCTGGTTGCGTTAAGGTATCTGAAGATGAGCACCAAGAATTGCTGCATCCAAAATAAGTTTTCACTGAAAATTCAAGTTCCCTCAAATTGGCATTTAAGGAGGACTTAGTACTTTAGGCAGCGCTGAAAATCCTAGGCACCATGCACAGTGCAAGTTTATCTCAGACACTGGCAGATATAGGTAAACATCTTCAGCCTAGACCACTACAGATTTAGAGGGAAGTATTTCAGTAATTCAGGGCTAGCAGTACTAATTTTTTTTCATTGATAGTTTAAAAAGCAGATGTATATTTAGATACAGGTGAGATGTAAGGAAATAAAGTACTTTTTCTCTTCTAAACCTTAATAGCTGGTTTCAGATTTTATTTAATAATCTTCTTCTAAGACTTAATCATTTAATTTTTTTTTCCAATTTTTATTTCTTGTGATGTGTAAATAGCTAAGAAATATTAAATATTATAATATCTTTCATTAAGACAATAACATTTCAAAGGCTAATGTAAATTCAAGCTGCTAAAGTCTATAATTTTTCTGTCCAGCAGTTCATTTACACAACTGCCCTGAGTAGATGCTATATGCGGCTTAGCAAATGGCCCTAAGAGTTTTAAAATAACTCAGTAAAGCTACTCAAAGGTAATGCAATACTTCTCAGGCATCTTTAATTTGAGTTAAGAAGAAAGTAGGGTTTTCTTATAAATTATTAACCCACCTGTTCAGTGATTTATACACATTCAAAACACAATTGAAACAGTCAGAAGTAATTGTGCTTGTAAATATGTATGGGATCACAAGACTCGTTTTCAGAAAGGCGGGGTTTTATGCTGCAAAATAAATCCTATATTTCTGGACTGTTTTAACTGCTTTCATTAAACTCTATATTGTTCCCATGCAAAAACAGTGAAAACAGTCTTTTCTAATCTAGCTTGCTATTGGTTTTGTGTTGCCTTTTTTTTTATTTTTTATTTTTATTTTTTGCAAAACCTCACTGATCCCTATAAACAAAAACATCTTATTTTAAAACTCCAGATACAATCAATTTGCAGTATATCTCAAACGGGTACAAATATGTAAAATTTGTGCTTTTAAAAGCTTCTGCTTTGAGTAGCCTTACATTCCATAATTGTGTCCTAGCAATTGTCAAGCTCTATTGCATGCCCCATTCACGAAACTTATATTTTGTTGGGATGACGTAGCTTAATGAATTTGTCTCTTCTTACCTAGAGCTTCCATTAAATTATATTAATTTTAAATATCTATGGAATGATACTTTTACAAAAATATTTTAACAAAAACAAATTAATGGGTTGGGTTTATGAAAATGACTCTACAGTAAGAAAGAAAGGTTTATCACAGTTTTGGTAACTTGCACGAGTTCATATCGAAATCTCTCACATGTTCTTAATGAATTTAAAACTGTTGCGCTCTAGGTATTTTCAGTTGTACGCTCTGAAACAGTAGACACCGTACAGCTTGTGCTTTTTATCAGGAAAGCCTACAAAGCGGACTGCAGCCTCGTTGGGGCTGCAGCGTTTTCTGGGTCTGGAGATGGGGTAGCGGACACTGCCGTCTGCCAGCCAGCCGGCGTCGCAGCGGTCATAACCAAGGAGCTTCCAGGCAGCGAATATCTGCCCAACCTTGGCAATCTGAGCACCATCCTTCAGGCAGGCCTGCACGGCTTCGTCATAGGTCAGCTTGGTTGGGTGTATTAGGTAGTAAAAACGACCTGGGGAGAGAAGGAAGGAGAAGAGCATATTATCAAGGGAGGTTTTGAGGAGAAATGAGGATGTTCCGTTGCAGAACTGGACAATTCAACATCTGATCATTTCAGAATGTGCAGCAAATTGTGTGCTGTGCTGTTGAACAGGTTATAATCCCTTGTGCAATAACTGATAAATAGTGGGAGTGAAAAAAAAAATCAAACAATAAGAAAGTAAAGAAGGTCAGTTTCTACAAAAATACAGCACTGTACTTATTTCTGCTGACAGTACAGCATAGTAACTGCATGGGCATTCAATGCTAACAGACCTGTTGCAATGCATTTCATAGAATCACAGAATGATTTGATTGGAAAGGGCCTTACAGCCCAACCAGTTCCAACTCTCTCCCATGGGCAGGGCTGCACCCCACCAGATCAGGTTAGAATAGGGCCCCATCCAACCTGGCCTTGAGAGCCTCCAGGGATGGGGCACCCACAGTTGTCTGAGCCAGACTCAGATGTGCCAGGGCCTCTGAGTAAAGGGTTTCCATCTAACATTCAGCCTTGCTTTCCTCCTCTGTCTGCAAATTTAAAATAGCAGGAAGAACGTAAGGGGTGTAGCCTGGGGTTCAGAGTGGGCTGTTCTGAGACCAGCATCAGGTTCTATCTTCAATCCAGTAAAATGCCTAAGGAACCCAAGATCTAAGGTAGAGCAGATCTCAAACAGTAGCATTTTGTTGCTAGAGAAGGGAAATTAGTTAAACATCCAAAGCAGTGTAATCCTACAGCATGCTCTCCACATTAGATGAAAACCCTTTGTGAGTTTCCTTCTCAGAAGCATGGCGTTGCAAGACCTGGCCTTTGAAAGTATTTGGGTGGGAGCTGCTGGAGCTAGCACGTGCAGTTCTTCTTTCCAACAAGGCAGTGACCTTGTTTCTGATTAAGTATAAGCACAATTTAAAGTTCTTTGATTTTTTTTTTTTCTTCCATGTAAGAAAGATGAGATATTGCACGGCTTCTCAGAAGCAGAGTTTGAACCCCTGGTAGATCAAAACCATGCCGGCTATAAGTCTTCATTAGCTGTTCCACAAGCATTCACAGCAGTTCTCCAGCTCTGTTTCTCTTTAGGCATCAAAGGGCATATCCGTAACGTACCACAGCACTGAACTGATAGAGCAGCTAAGCAAAATACGCCCATCATAAGGTAATGAAAACACATACCAGCAAGCAGAGCTTGAAAACTCCTCTGTACCAATCCATAAGTAGCAATAACACTAATATTAATTTCACTTATCAAGATAGTATAACTTTATCACAAGCTTTTCACTCATTAAACTTCTTTATCAGATTTCCAAGTAAGTTCACAACATTTTCAATCTTACTGCATTATGAAAGGGGCAAGCTGTCTGAAAAGAAAAATCTACTTATTCATGTGAGGCAAACTGCTTCTTAATTAAAAATGTACTCCAGCAAAACATCCATTTTCTTCCTCATAAATAACAGCAGTAAAACAGATCAGATTCTGCACAGATTACTTTCTTGGTGAAGGAAAAGCAGCAGGAAGGAGAACGAGTTATGTCTAAATCTCAGCAAAAAGCAGAGAGACTTTTTGAAGTGAAGAAATGTCAGGTTGGGTGAAACTATAAAGATAATTGAATTAGCTATGTGTGAAGATTTGAAATTTTATACAATGATGGAAATCATTAAAAAAAAAAAGGCACTTATATTGTGCAGAAGAACCTTTTAAACAATTTCACTGTTGTCAGAGGTAGCATCTACAGTATTTTCACCAGAGTAGAGTGGATAATTGACCCCTTGTAAAATGCATTGATTCCATTGCAGCACGTTGGCAGCATTTACAGGCTGTTACTGAAGAGAATGTTTATTAAGTGGAACCCTGTTCTTACTAGGCTTTTAAGAGGTTTCACCAAAGCAAATAGGATTTCAGACTAAGAGAACAGGGATTTGGACTGATAGTATGTAAACTTCACCTAGCTTATTAGTTGCTCTTCAAACCATATGTCAGGGGAATGTAATTTCCTTGGGATTTGCAGTAAGGTCAGGCTTTTGACATATGACATCAATAATAAAAACTCCTACACTCTGCCCTTTCCCTAAATGGGAGAACTTTAACATCAAACCCCACGCGAGTGGAATGTGCACGCAGAATGTCCGATTAAAGGCTGTGAAAATAGACTTGGTGCAGATTTACTGGTTTTCCCCTACCAGCAGGCTAGAAGTACTCCTAAAATGCTCGTTCTTAGTTCTCATTAATTCACGTGGAAGGAGGGAAAAGCGTTAATCCTCTGTCTGTAATTAATGTGTGTCAGTTAGGTCATTCCTATAGAGAATGAGTGTGCTTGGCTTGACTTTTCACTACAAATCAAGGGACAAGAGTTTATGCAAACCTAATAGAACCCCACTTATAACAGCTATTTTAAGGTTTTGCTTGTAATGGAACAGCTTAAAGAGCAAAATTTGAGCACTTGACTTAAATACCCACACCTTGTGACTGTCGGAGTGCGACAGATGCACTGCCAGTGGAGATTTGTTCCAACCTCAGCTCTAAGTTGCGTATTTCAAGGCAAAGTTTTGTATCTAAGCTGGGTGCAAAGGAAGTGGGACATCATCCTTAGTGGTACTGATAGGTGATACCACTCCACCAGATCTATTCTGTGTGAGGGCCAACACAGTGCCTGACAGGGAGGGCTGTAGCCCATGTGCTCAGGGAATTAAGTTGTTTCATCAAGTAGAGAGCACACCTCAGATGGCAATGACAGGCATTCTCAGCATGCAGTACAAGATGCTACTTATCATCAGCTCCACAGACTCAGTATAGTGTATCTCATAGCCACAGTAGCCAGCTGAGTGAGGCTGTTGCTCTTCAAAATGTATAAAAATTAGTGAGAATAGAGACTTTTCATTCCCTCAAAAATAGGATCATGAAATGTATGTTGAAATCAATGTTCAACTCAGGAGCTGTATTTAAACTGCTACATTAAATATTTGGGTATGATTTTTGAAAATCCTCTTCCACTCCCCCCCAGAAGCCATTGGCCAAGAAGCACCCACTTTTCAGAAAGGGCAAATCATTTTTCTTTGGGTAGCTTTATTTTCATTTTTAGATAAATGGATGCATGTTCAAATATTCTCTTTATCAAATGAACAATCAGTGTGGATTATTTGGAAAAGATCTTCTACTGCTTTAAACGGTGGTGGTCACCTTAACATGTGCATTACTGAAATAAGCAGCTGCACTCACACAAGATCCCTAAAATTTATTCTCTGCATTTTTAATTTTGTTAACATAAAATAATTTTATTCAATTTTGCTAGATGTGATAACAAATAGATTATGCAGTGCAGTTCAGTGTGTAAAGTACATAACAAAATGCACATTAATGAGCTGGAAGTGTGATACAGGCAGTATTTAGACCTCTTTTTTGTTCAGTTTTAGAATAACCCTCCTGGACACCTTCCTATGCAACTGGAGTCGGACTCAATGTTCTCTTCCAATCCCTACAACTCTGTGATTCTGTGATTTATCTTGCCTAACACTTCTCAGAGTCAGAGTTTTCCATTTATTCATTTATTTATTTATGGAGAGGCTCACTGCCTCCTTCAGAAAGCCCTTGAAATTAGGCAAAGAATAACCCTTCAGCTATATTACTACATGTTCTTTGCCCCATGCCATGTGGGGTCTGTGGGACATGAATTTCTTCTGCAGTGTTTATACGAAAGAGGACTAAGTCACATCTTTCTTGCATAGCCTTGCTGTCTGATTTTTGAGCTCTGAATAGTAAGCATATTGGTGAGATTATGTTAATATTAGTTTTTGTGTACTTTTCTGTAATTCATTGCTATATATTCTTATAAACCAAGAAATTACTTGTACTACTCTTTTCAAAAAGCGTGCATTACCTCTTGGGATTTCTGGCTTTGCCTGCACAGCCACAGAAGACAAAAAGTTCCTCTATGAACCAATTGAAGGAAGGAGTTAGATGGGAAGAACAAAATGCTCAAGTAATGCACTTAAAGTACTCCAAGAAAAGACACTGGAGAGGGTAATTTTGTAAAGTAATGAGTACTGTATATTGTATTGTATAAGAACTTTGCTGAAACTACTTTCCTGTACAGTCAAGAGGAATGAGTACGTAACTCTTTGCTAACAGAATGAAAGTACTTCTTGGTGTTCACCAAAGAGACGTCCCATAGATCCTGAGTGAAAACACCGAAGCTGGATTGAAACTAACTGCATTAATGATTATGTTTCCATTTTTCAACTTAATATCTAAACAATTAAGGATCTTCATTCTCCAGGTTAAAACTAAGCCTCAACTACTTAACATTGAGCCTTTTTTTTCCATCTCACCTGACATCATGAGGTACTTAGGGATGTTTTTCTCTAGAAAGAACCCAAACTAAACTTCACGCCCCCCGGTTACTCACAGCAGCTCACACAACTGACACTCTTTGAGATGTGCTTTTTTTTCAAGCTAGCATTGCATGCCTCCCATCCTGAGGCTACTGGTGTGTTTCCAGCTCCCTCACACAGTGCTGAAGGCTTCTCTGTTTTAGTGCATCAGGAGATTCCAGCTGTCACTGCCACTACTGGTGTCCTGACTTCATTTTCCTTGGCTGTTCCTGAACTGAGAGAATCAATATTGGGTGTTGGCAGAAATAGCTCTTTGCCCAAAGCCACTATCTCTGGCAGTTGCAACCTAGTGGGAAACCAGGTTATTATAAGATTTTTCCTTTTACAGTAAGAACACTAATGACATTGTTAAGTGCTCATAAGCTGTCTGAGGTGTTAAGCTGCAAATAAGATGCTGGCATTTGGGGAGCATTTCTGGGATTATTGTGGTGTGCTTGGAATACAAATAGTGGAGAACAGAGAAGGGACACAGGAAAATGTGTCCAGACTTTCTGCTGACGCCTTGAGAGATGTATATGGAGGGGAGCTGAAGGGACCTTGGTAAAATGGTACTCCACTCTTCACATCACAGTGTTGCTGTATGGTTTTCTGTCCCGCATGTCATTTTAGCAGACTCGCCAAGCATGAGATCAATACCAATGCCTTGTCTTTCACTTCTCTGCCATCTCTATACCATATTCTCATCTTGCCTTATTCCTCTTTCTCTTTCTTTCTCTTGCAGTATCAGTGTACAGACAGTATTTGTCAGCAATTCTTTTTTTTTTTCAGCTTTTTTTTTCTTCTTTCCTTGAGAGATACTGTCCAGCTGCTTGTGTAGACAATGGTGGTCCTTAGTGACCAGAGAACTCAAGAGTTTAAGCTATCAGCACTTTAAATAGTGCAGCTATCAATTTTAATTTTTCCTTTGTTTATTTTATTCCTCAGTGTTTTTTTTCTCCAGATTTAAATGAGCATATGATGAGCTCGTATGGGATTTTGCCTTGCTTAAATGGAACAAGAGAAAAATGAGCCAGCATTTCATGGAATTATGTAGCATGATAAAATCACACAAACATTTGTTTCTGACTGTGTCCCACGTAATTTTTTATATTATTAGTTTGAGAATTTGTTGGATTTTTTCTTTTTGAGAGGGTGGGACAGGCCTAGCATTAAAGCATATCATCTGAGAACAAGGCTTATGTTTATTTTTATGTATGCTACAGGGCAAAAATGCTTCACTGAGGATAAGCAATCTGAGCATAAACAGAAAGGGCTGTGCTCCTTGGTCTGGTTGGGCTGAATGTCAACACATGTGAATGCCAAACACAAGTGAACTACCCGTGAGCACGATGCTATGGAGGGCTGTAGGCTCCTTTTGCACTTCTTACTTGCAGTGCTCCTCTCATTCACAGCCATGCTTTGTAAATCCTTTCCAGCCATTAGATTAAACCATAAATGATAGTCTGAGATCAACAGATCATCTCACTTCGTACCGAAGGTAAAATCTACTAACTGCTGAAATTTTGCAGCCACTGGAATAAGCTTTCGGGCAGACCAAGGGAATGTCTCAGTTTTGACAGCATGCTAAGATTAGAAATCTGAATTATTTGTTATATAAGCTAGAAAAAACTTTGCTGATAAGGAAATATTTGTCATATTAGACTTGTTGTATGAGCTGGAGCTGCTTGAGGCAACAGCAGAGATGAAGTGACAATCACAATTTTATTTTGGTGACACTGATGTTGTAAAACATCGTAATTATAATTGAAATCAATGGGAAATGTCAACTAAAGAAATTGCTAATTTATTCACCATTTTAACTAACATAAAAATTAAAAAGGCATGTTTAGTGGGGTGAAATTGGAGATATAAGGAAGCGCTACTAACATTAGCTCCAAGTTCTGAAAACAATCTGCATGAACACATGGCACAGCCACCATTACTATGGTTACATGTCTTTTTAAATCCATCAGTAACATTTCCCAAAGCTAACATAAACTTTGGCCAGCCAAGTGCCATCTGCTACCCTCTGGTGCCGTTGGCATCTCTTTCTTTTCAAAGCATGAAAAAAGCCCCTTGCAAGGTAGAAGCAAACCGGGTTCTTACCATTGAAGTTAGAAGTAAAACAGAAAACATCGTATCGGCTCTTCTCTTTATCCCAGAAGCCATAGTTTCGGACACCAGGCACTGTATTCTTCCCCCCGCAGGGCTCCCTGGGCTTGGTGATGGGGTACTGCACCGAGCCATCGCTGAGCCAGCCAGCATTGCACCAGTCCAGCCCTGACCTCCAGGCCTCGTAGAGCTGGTCGAAGGAGGCAATGATGGAGTCCTGGTCCAGGCAGGCTTGTTGAGCCTCGTGGAAGTTTAGGTTGTAACGACCCAGACGTGGAGAATAGGGGAATACAACACCTGAAATGGCAGAAAGAGGTAAGCTGGGGTGTTACCAACACTAGAAGAGGTTTTGAGTCTCCAATTCTGAAAGAACAGAAGGAGAAGTAGCATTTACAGTTGTCAGGAGACTCCTTGATGTCTTAGAATCATAAAATCACAGAATCATTAAGGTTGGAAAAGACCTCTAAGATCATCTAGGCCAACTGTCTACCTACCAACAACACTGCCCACTAAAACCATGCCCCTAAGTACTACATCTGCCCTTCCCTTAAAATTTCTATGAAATCTTGTGTGGTTTTAGGAAGATGTTTTATAATACACCCCAGCTGCTTCTGGCAGTTTCTCACCACTGAGGAAGGAAAAGCTCCTCATAGAGAGCAACAGGGAACAAGATTTCTTTAGTACCAGACAGATGTCCTCAATGAAAGCTGATGAGCCTTGCCGCAGCTGCAGAAAGGTAAGGTGGAGAGACCTTGGAACAGGTAATATCCAAGTGGAGACAGTAAATGGGAAACAACTCCTGAGCTGTTTCAGCAGCAACATTCATAGTCATCACCTTTATTTCACAGGTCTTTCCATTTGTTTGTTTCACAAACTCTCACTCTGAACAGGCTGGCTAGAGAGGTTTTGGAGTCTCCTTCTCTGGTGACACTCAAGATGCATCTGGACCCTTTCCTGTGTGACTGGCTACAGAGAGCTTGCTTTAGTAGGGGACTGGACTCGGTGATCTCCAGAGGTCCCTTCCAACCCTTACAAGTCTGAGATTCTGTGAAAAAGATCTGTTGTTAAAAATTGCATTTCAAAACATAGAAGATGTTGAATAAAATGCTGAAGAACTACCTCCTCATGTGGCTCTGATAAAAGACTGTACAAAGAGAGAGACATAAAAGTTTGGATCAGTCCACTGTAACTTTGGCAGGGTTTAGAAACTTAACTCAGACCTAAATTTTATGGTTGGCTTCAGCCCAATCTTCATAATAAGCTGAAATAAAATGGCATCCAAGAAGATCTAGCTCAGAGAGTTTACTATCAAACATCTCTGCAGAACTTGTTGCTGTGGGATGCTGAGAGGCTGAAGACAAGATAGCACACTATGGAATGGGCAAAAAACTTTAAGCCAGTACAGACATCCATCTTTATTTTCTCCCTGCTGATGAATTCTCCCTATAAGAAATTCCTTGTCTCCAGGGCAATGTACAGAGCATAGGATACTGAAATTGTATTACAGTCATGCAAGACAGCATGCAATGAAGTTATTCTTCTTCTTGAGGAATCAGTCCACTTTGGTGTCTATTCCACTGGTATCTTAACATTTCCTTTCTTTTCCTCCTCTCCCTCACTCATTTATCATCCAAGTACTGTTATTTTTGTTAAACAAAATCTTTGTTATTACTAAACCTCAGTGACTTGATCCAAGAAAATAAAGCATACAAACGTAAACATAGCAAGGGAATAATAAACAAGATTTTGTTCTCCCTCAGCAATTAAACAGAGATTCTGCTGACCTTCTTCCCTTTTGTAAATTCTTTCTTAAAGGGTTTTTCAGTTATTAGTTGTCCTGAACTATAAGGATGAATGAAATGTAACACATCGTGTGCTGCTAGCTATAACTTAACAAACATAAAGCTGTAGCTATTTCATTATTTTCTGGTCTGGAGAACATAAGAAACTGAGGAGCTATACTTAAATTATTTTAAAGACTGAGAAACAATTCAACAGATACCGCTCAAAAGGATTTGATCCCTTAAGGTTTCCAAAATCACTTTTTTTAGATCATTAAATAAATATGTTAATTTGTTATCAACGTACTTGAGTTTGAAAGTTTGAGACATAATGTTTTAATAACAAAAATACGCAGAAAATTGCAATATTAGCTTTGAGCTACATTCGGGTAGACTGCATAGAAGCTGATTTCTGTTTGAGTTCATCTGAAGTACACGTCTGCAACTGATTAACACTAATTTCACCCTGCAGATGGGGCGGCCATTGGTGATTTTGTATAGCAGAACTGGATATGTGTTTTGTGTAGCTTTGCGTTATCTTGCATTTTTGCTCGTATTATTCTTTCCCCTTCAGTTTCCTATCAAACATAACACTGAATTCATAGTTAGTCTTACTATTTGCCTTTCTTTTGGTACAAGTTAGCAGTTCTGAACTTCAGTTAGTTGCACAGCATCTTCTTTGGTCTTGGATCTTACAGCCCATCAAAAGATAATCCATCCCATCTGTTCCCGAATGGACAAAAGCTGTCTGGAGGCTTGACTCTGTTCCCAAACTAAAGACTGACTCAAAACTCCTGACTCCAAAGCTGTGTTTTGCCACCAGACAAAACACATATTTCCAAATGTTAACAAAGTGAGTTTAGGAAATGGAGGAAGAGAACACAGGCTCAAATGGCCAGAAATTAATAATGTGGTTTGGTTTTTTTTTTTGGTCATATGAAGGCTCCAGAATGTCTTCCTCTGGGAAAGAATGGTCTTCCTCTTCCAAAGACTGGCTGTAGCCTTTTATGTCTGAATTTCACTCCAGCTGAGTGTGAACAAAAGTTGTTAATCCCTCCATGTTTTCTGTAGCATGTCTTGCTGGCAGGCTTTACAGCAACAGCATCCATGTGCAATCAGGCGCTCGTAGCAATCTACCAAAAAATCAGGCAGAGGATTGATGGGAGCCTTTTTAAAACCCAGAGAATAGCAGTACCCTCTCTCTGTTGCTGGAAGACTGAACTGAAGAGCCTTAGCTTGATCTTGGTGGTCTGGCTCCTTGCCCCAAGGAAGCTGCTGAGACACCAGTGGAGTCTGAGTGAGGAATATTAACCTACAGCATAGACTCCCAAACATGCAGTTCTCTGAAACTGGGCTTGTCCCAGGGAAGGACAACCTGATGCTCAGGAGGAAACTGAGAAACACTGGTTCACTGGAGAGTAAATCTGTCAGTAAAAGTCTTGCTGTATGCACCTGCAGCTATGCAGCCATTGTCCTAAAAATAATGGAAACCAGGATTTGTATCAGAACAGATGTGGAAGTATAACATATAAAAAAGAATCCAAGAAAACGGAGAGTGGGAGACAAGTGAAACTGTCTTGGAAGGCATCATCATAAATGGTTTTTGTGGAACTGTTTTTGAATTAATTAATTAATTTTTTTTTTTTTTTTGAGAGAGAGAGAGAGAGAGAGAGAGAATTTACATCTGGCTTATGAGAATCAAATGTTCCGCTAATGAAAATAAGTGGAGAATAATCAGAGAAGCAGAGCTCAGTTCTGATCTCTTAAGGATTGGACAAGACATAATGCATGTATGTCCTTACATGCAAGAAATCCCTAATGCTGAATACAAGTACTTTGCAGTTAATTAGTCACTGTGAGTACAGTCACAATCCAAGGAGCTGTAATAGTGATCCAAGACAACAAGATGAGTAAATAAATCCAGAAAGCTCAATTCCTGTAACAATTTAAACTAGCACTGTAAGCAATGAGCAATTTTAAGAGCATTTACAGATAATCTCTGTTAACACATATGGAAAAAAATAGGACTTTTTTAGCCAGAGTAAAGAAATTGGCTTCCTTGAGTTCTAGCCTAGACAGAAAAGCAATTTTTCTTGTAGCCAGTGTAAACACTAGTTAAAGTAGGTTTGCTATATGCTGTACTGCAGGATACAGTTTTACATTGGCAGGTTCATACACTTGAAGGAAAAATTTTCCATGTTGGATTTCTAAGATTCTGTGATTAGCAAGAGGTAAGTCTCTGATTTTCCTTCAGATTCCACGTCCATTTTTCCACTTGTCTGATTACTCAGCACAAGTTGCATGGGTGAGCTTCCAGGTAGCATCTTGCACCTGAATCTGGGGACATCCATCCACAGTGCCCCACAACCAACCTGTCACTGTGACTGCTTGTTTCTAACTGATACAGGCATCCAGACTAGACTTCCCTGGGCCCAAGGGCAGACAATTCCCTTATACTCCCACAATTTTTATCAAAATTTGAAGACCTGTTTTTCTCTGTTCTCCCAGGGCTAATCAGTTCCAAGTCTTTTAGCACCTTCCTTTGAAGTCATTGTTTCCAGATAAATTTTTGTTTCTCTATTTTTTACTTTTACTTTACTGTATCCTTGAAATGCCATTTTTCACAACTGCAGTACAAGTCTGTTTGTAAGGAGCTGTTACCCTGACACAGAAGGAATTACATTGGATCAACATGATTTACTCTTGCAAAACTGCTGCTGTCTATTACAAAAAATCTTGTTGTCTTCTAAGTGCTCATAAATAGCATGCCTTATATGATCAGTTTTACAATAGACAGATCAACAAATTGTCATGCAAAGGATATTTTAAATACCTTTCAGTGTATGAGTGTAACAGCAGCATGTAGAAGAAACAGGAAAGATATCATTAAACTAAATCTAATTAGAAAATAAGGCTGGATTAGAAATGATTACTGTGACAATTTGGAAGAACTTATTTATTTGGACCTTTCGGATTTATCTGTTGTGTTTTTAAACTATAAGGTCAGTTTTTGAAAAAGAAACTCTATCTTTTTCTCACTCTATCTTGGAAGCTGATGAACCTCCAAGCAAGGTCACAAAACCTTGTTTTGGGGTTTGTGTGGAGCCATGTCAGGATTGCCTCCAACTGAGAAGCACAGTCTACAGATACTTTCAATAGCTTTATCTAAATTTACATATTTCTGGTTCTGCAGAATGTAGAAAATACTTATTTTATAGATTGTACTGTAAGAAATGCCTTTGGCAGCCTAGCATTGTTCCACTTTCTCTGCCACTTGGCCCATGACTCTCATTGCCATGAAGAAACAGTGCACATAAACCATGCAAGAGCAGTGTGAGCCACAGGCACTGCTGGAGGCTTCCCTTGCCTGGAAAACCGAAGCAGATAAACCTGGCACAGGGAGACTCACTGCAGTGCATCGTGCTTGTCAGATAGGAAAACAGTAAAGCACAAACATAAAATGTCGTGCAGAAGAGTAAAATGACAACATAAGGAAAATTTAACGTAAGTTGAGAATTCTTTCTTTGCCTGTGATTCAGGCAACTCTACCTATCTACCACAGGGGATCTTTTAATATGTTAAGCTTTTGACTCTTGTGACATCTGTAAAAGAATGTGAAGTTAATAATCCTTATTTTAAATGCAGTAACATGGCATGCCCAGTTCAGTGAGAAAATGGCTTTGGTGACAAGCTCATTATAAAATATATCCCCCACCATCTACAGTTTCTGCCACTTCTTCCAGCCACTGTGCCCAGCCCAACAGTTCCATGCTTAGTTTCTGCATTTAAGGATAAATGTGAGATGATAATGATGAGAAGGCTGAACAGTTTTGGAAAGATGGAAAGATGGAAAGAAGAAATGAAAGGAAGGGAGGGAGGAAGGAAGAAAGGAAGTGAGTAGGAAGGGAGGGAGGGAGTGAAGGGAGGGAATGGAAGGAAGGAAGGGAAGGAAGGGAAGGAAGGGAAGGAAAGGAAGGAAGGGAAGGAAGGGAAGGAAGGGAAGGGAGGGAAGGAAGGGAAGGAAGGGAAGGAAGGGAAGGAAGGGAAGGAAGGGAGGAAGGCAGGAAGGCAGGAAGGCAGGAAGGCAGGAAGGCAGGAAGAGAGGGAGGGAGGGAGGGAGGGAGGGAGGGAGGGAGGGAGGGAGGGACGGAGGGACGGAGGGACGGAGGGACGGAGGGAGGGAGGAAGGAATTGGCACAGTTCTTCACTTTATAGTAGTAAAAAGAATATGCAAGAAATGTGTAAGATACTTAACTGAGCCTAATTCTGCCTTCAAAAAAAAAAAAAAAAAAAAATTAGCCAGTTACTATGCATAGCATATTTAATCACAGTACTAGAAGGCTTTTAAATCTAACAAGAATATAACACTACCACTTTCAGGGAGGATAAAAGGTCCACTGAGGTAGAGGTCAACTATTTTCATATTGATAAATTAATATGATTTTGCTCAGGCAAATCTATGCCATTTGTACAGTGATCTCACACTGAAGTGATCAGTTGGTTTGTACTGCTAGCAGGCATTCCTGGGTATAAATGGTTTTGTCTTGCTGCCAGTCAACATCCTTAGGGCCACCATCTCAGGATATCATGCTACTGATGCAAATCCTTCCTACTGTGAGATAAACCTTATTACACGTAGCAGATGCAGAATGTTAGTGTGGAGTAGCATTTTTACTTTTGTCCAAAGAGACTGATTTTTTAAACTCATCCTGATCTGCACTGCACAAATGCATGAAACAGCAATAAAAGTGAGCAATGAATGAAGTGGCCATTCTCATATGGATGAGATGACAGGATGAGTGCAGGGGCATAGAAAGAGATGAATACACTCCATCCACTACTTATGTCTGCGTGTCCACTGTAAATGCAAGTGCACTTTAGTAGTTATGATTGTAGAGTGAATCTTCAGTGAAACTTGGACCCAGAATCACTGAATTTAGTTACCCTAGTTGAAACAAAGTTGTTTTATTCTAAACCAACACACTCAATAGTCTTATCTCACTTCTTGAAAGGTTAGCTTTTACCATGGGATTTCACAAATGATTTTCCAACTCTCTGGGAGACTTCACTCTCTAACATCAGATATGAGCAGCTTGACACCCTTGACTGACAAAGTCATTAAAACAAAACACTGTTCCATATGTTAAAATGCATGAACTTTCCTTTGATCAGAGAATGGAGCAGTCTTGTTAAAGACATACTTAATTCCTCTCCTATCCAATGAATTTCTTTATTTTGAATTCAAAGAAAAGGAAACAGGAAGGAGTGGTGGTGTTGGAGAAGATGGATTGGAGTTGGCATAATTCGAAGGCAGACGCTGCTTAGAGAAACAGCAGCAGGCTGAAGGTGTCTGTAGTAGGTAGAACCTAGATCTTCTGTACGGTAAGCTGGTGCTCTATCACTAATTAGGCAAGGTAGAAAAGAAAGATCTCTTTTCTGCAGTGATATTTAACAGATATGTTTCTCCAGTGCATACTGCTAACTAACTTCTGGGTGTTGTCTTTGGAGCAGCAACATTCAGGAGTGTTGTGCAATGCTCAAGCTCTGTTAAGGAAGTGTAGATGTGTACCTGAGCAACCTCATATTGCTCGCTAGTCCATCTGTGCTTTTAGTCCTCAGTTCTAAGCACTGTCAAAAACTATGTAACTACTGCACATGGTTAACAAAAAACATTTCTCATTGTCTTCTTATTCTAATATCATTTCAATATTGCCTTCCAAATACTAGTCTCTGCACATGCGCAACGATTTGTACCAAGCTCCAGGCAAAGTTTCTCTCTGTTGCTGCAGCTGTTAGTCATCTGCCCTTTCCCAAACTCTCCTGTCGCAGCTGCAAGTGTTTGTCCTGGGATCTTGTTGCTTCTAAAAGCAGGAAACTAATGAACATTTACTTCAAAGGCACAATGCTAGTGGTACCAGAAGGGTACGTGGTCCAGATAAGCAGCATGATGAAGATTTTATGCTGGCTCTGAACATTCTACACTAGAAATATTGTCTTAACATCATGAAATTCTGGGAAATATCAGTATTTGGGATCCAGTGGTACAGTACTTATCTGGACAAGCTCTAAGCCTTGCAGAGGCATGTATTTAGGACATATGGAGCCTGTCAGAAGAATTTTATCACATGCCATTTTGCAGGATTGTTGAGCAATGCTACATCCCACCTTGCAACCCAGGAACGAACTCCAGGACAGCCTGCAGAATATCATAAGAGGAGCTGAGGCATGCAAAGGTCAGACAGGTGCTGCCTGTGTCTGATCTCCATTACGTGGCAAAGTCAACAGCTGCATTTGCAGTTTTATTATGAGGTGACTTTTTTTTTCTTTTCAATTTTTCTTCTTCTTTCCCTTCTTCTCCCCCCACCCCCCCACTAACAAGATTATGTGGCTTCTGGAAAGTTCCTCCTGAAGCACACTTGCTGGCAGGTATAAATGTAAAGGGGCAGAGAGATATCTTCATGGAACTCTTTGTTTATAGATGAGAATAATAGAGGGCTTTGGGGAAAAGGCCTGATGCTGATTTACATGCATCAAATCTCATAAAATTAATCTAAATTTCATAAAAGATGAATATTTTGTTCTTTTTAAGTCCATTTCAATAATTTTACTAATGCTTTCTACCATACTGTTTACAAAAAATTGCTGAAGGAAATGACTACCAGAGCGTACGAGTAGGAGTTGTCTTGGCAGGCAATACAGAGATTTACTTTATGTAATTATAAGGCTTGAAATAAACAAAGCTATTGTCTCTGTAAAATTACTTGGAGATTTTCTCTGTTTGTAGGAAGATTTTTATCTTCTAGATAATCTAAAACGTCCCAAAGTTCTGCAAAATGGCTTTTAGGAGAATGCTTAATATAATTTTGATTAAGTCTACTGCAAAAACACACAGCAATTTTTGTAAAATGAAGGGACCAAATTAAAAACATATGGAGTCTTTCATACTGTGTTTGGTCATTCTTTTTTGGCTCCCTTTGCAATGGGGCTCACTGGGAGCAGACTATGCCGTGGGCTAGTGTAAGTTATAAAAGTCCTAATGTTCTTCTAATTTATGATAGCTGCTAGAGGCTCTCAGGCCAAGATCCCCAGGGTGCTATGAATCCCACTTCTCAGTTGGCTGCTATCACTGTTATCTCACAGTACCAGCAGTATGAGGAGGAAAACCAGGCATCTCTTAACACTGTGCAAACCTAATGTTAAGTATAATTCAGGTGTTACCTACCTTCCAAATTCAGAGCTACCACTGCTGTGTCATCCTCTAATCCTTCAATCACTTCGCACTTGTATCTCCCATAATCCTCCAGCATTATATTTGTGATTATAAGAGAGGCATCGTTCTCACTGCTTTCCCTCAGAAACACTCTGCCCTGATACTTCCCGTAGCTCTTTCTGTGGTGTCCCATTGCGACAAAGACGTCCACTTCTTTGAGGTAATCTGAGGTGAGTTTGGTCCACTTGACCCGGATTTTGTGGGCTCCTGATCCAGCCGTTGATGTGTGTTCATGGTAGAATTTACAAGGCAGTGTGATGTTGCCGCCCCTCTGAGAGAAGATCTTAGCTTGTTCTGCTACTACAAGTAGGCGAGGTCCATTTTCTTCTAAAATTCAAGGAGAAAAACAAAAAGGAGAATTAGCCTGCGCTCCACCTTTTACAGAATGGATATGAACAGTGCTTTAACAAACATTACCTATAAGCATGTGGAATCAGTTCCTTGCAACCATTTGTACCTATGCAGCAAGGCATATGAACTAGTTATATACATATATACTGTTGGGTTTGTATGGCTTCTGTATGAATGCCATCATCCATAAATGGCTCCTTGCACGCATCCTGTATTTGCTTGTGGGTTGTTCCAGAGCTGTCCCTTCTTCCACAATTCAGTTTTTCAGTGCAGGATGCAGCATGCTAAGACCCTCATGACATAGCATCCAGCAAAGCATTCTCATGAAATAGGAAAACTGTTCTGGTGTCAAACAGCATTTTTTATATCGACCTGAAAACTGCCCATGTAATTCTAAAATGGCCCATTTTTCAGGTGCATTTTATTCCATACTTTGAGTACCTCTTCTGACATACTTCCACAAATGTCAGGATGTACATTGTATCTTCAAATCAGTAAAATCTTTTCCTTTTCTGCCATCTTTCCCAATAATTTCAATCTTATTCCCCACCTCTTTTTCCAATATCCTTCTAATTATCACTATTTCATCTTTTATGTTTTGGTCTGACTTCCCACACTGACCCAAATCTAGCTGGCAGGCTATCTTACTCGTCACTCTTTTCTCAGATTCCCTGCTCTCTTTTCTCTCTGTAGGCCACTGCTGCTGATGCTACTCTGTGCAGTCATTATACTTAGGACAGTCATCCAGAACAGGCTCACTTCCAAACATATTTGTTCGGGCCTTCTTTGATAGACTGTGCTGCCTTGGGAAAGCCTTGAAATGCCTAAGTTTGATGATGACAGACTGCTCTACTACCCACGTGCTCAAATATTATTTCCTTCTTTCAGTAACTCTTCTCCTCTGATTAAGCAAGCTCAGTGCTTCTGTAGACATTGCTGTCCTCTATCACCAAAGCCATCAGCTGAAACTGGCAGTGAATCAGTAGTACACACTTGCTGGAAAAGAATTACCAGCCTCACTGCTTGTAGCTGATTACAAAGAAAAATACTGCAATTTGCTGTGTCTCTAAAACAGGTCAGTGAGATAGCGTAGGAGTGAGATTTCCAGCTCTATGGGACAATCACCTTCCTGCTCCTGTTGACAACGCTACTTCTGATACAAGCCAGGATGCCACTGGCCCTCTTGGCCACCTGGACACACTGCTGGTTCATGTTTAGCCAGCTGTCAACTAATACCCCAGATCCTTTCCAACCACAGAACCTTCCAGTCACTCTGCACCAAGCTTGTAGCATTGCATTGGGTTGTTGTGACCAAAGGGCAGGCCCTGGTACTTGCTCCTGTTGAAACTCACACAACTAACCTCAGCCCAGCTATCCAGCTTATTTAGATCTCTCAGTAGGGACTTTCTTTCATCAGGCAGATCAATACTTCATCCTAGCTTGGCGTCATCTGCAAATACACTGAGAGTGCACTCTGTCCCCTCGTCTGGATCATTAATGAAGATATAAAACAACACTGGTCCCAGTATTGACCTCTGAGAAACACCACTAGACTAGATATGCTCTGTTAAGAGCATCACTATTAGCTGCATGGGACAAACCAGCCAGAGTGCCTACAGACAGAGCAAACTTGACTGCTGCCAACTGGGTTAATAAGACAGGAGACCCTCCTGATGAAAACCACTGTTGTAGGGTCTCACACCATTCTATACACATGGCAATCTTGCTGGTGTGAACAGGGCATGGGGTGCTCTGGCAAGCAGACCAGTGCATCTGAGGAGAGAGGTGACCTTAGGCAGGGCATGACAGGAAGTGTTGCCAGCCCTGTTTTCATAGGAAGAGGAGAAGGAAGGATGGAAATGCAGCCAGAATAGCTCCTCTGTTGCCTTCCTTGTTTCCATTAGGGACAAAGAAGTCCCACATATGTCTGTCTACCTTGGGAGGGGAAATGTTATGTTTTTGGGTGGTTATTGCTGAGAAATCTGAATCAGAGCTCAGCAATGTTGTGACTTTAATACTGAAATAGGCAAGCTAATAAATATTAGCAGAAAGGACAGGATTGGAGGGAGAGTCTCACTCAGGCTGTTAGCGCTCAAGCTTTCTAGCAACAGCTCAGTCATGCCAGCAAGGCTGGAGGATTGCCCAGAGCACTGTCACCTCTGTCAGCATCCCAGCTGACCCATGTCCCTCCTAGCTGCTGCCCATGGCTCTTGGCTCAGCTGGTGCCAGAGTCTAGGTGCCAGGAAGTGCTGGGAACAGGAAGGGGAGCACAGCTTCTCTCAGCCTATGTCCTGAGGCACCATAATGCAGTGAGCAGCTATCTGTGATGAGACAGAGACCTGATGCTGGGAGGTGGGTAAGCACTGTGCTCAGCATGTCAGGGATATGTGAGAATCCAGCACACTGCTAGCAAAAAAGGATACTTCTTTTTCCCCAGAACTGCTTTCTTCAGAAGTCCCATCAGAGCAATTATGAGCTGCGTGGACAGTTGACTATAAAGCCTATATTATATATATATATATGAATATAAAGACTACAAAGTAAATTGCAGATAACACCTTGTTTAGCAATTGCCTTCATCAGAACAGTGTGGTTCCTTTCTGCAGATAAGACAGACCTTGTGCACAGACACACAAGTGTCTCAGGTGGTAGACAAATGGTGAATAACATGCTGCGCAGCTCTTTCTGCATTGGAGCAGAAATGGCAGCAGCCTGACTGTTGGTTCTGGTCTCAGCTCTGGAATCAGGATGAGAAAAGTTGCTGAGTGGGGTTATTACCTGTCCACATCCCTCATAAAACAGCCAATAGCTTCACTGTCAAAGAACCAGCCACCACTGGAAATTAATTTGTGCTATTTTTCCATGCTGCTTCCTTACTATCAGTTTTGGGTTTTGATTTGCTTGTAAGTAAATATCAGCAAAGACTGTTTAAGAAGGGATCCAGCAAGAAGTCCTCTTGAGGTGTCACCACAAAGAAATAAAGGAATATTACTCTCCCCCATGTTTTGTCACAAGAAGTCTGTTTTATTTTCCATCTCCCCCTCTCCTGTGTTTGACTGCTATGCATTTTGCACTGCTGTTCTCTCTGCTCCCCAGCAAGTTTTCAAACACTAAAAAAACTTCTTAAAAAGTGAGAATGTCAAGTAGATGTTAGGATTAGATTAGAATTTTTCACTCAGAGGGTGGTGAGGTCCTGGCACAGCTGCCAGAGAGCTTTGAGTACTCCATTCCTGGAGGTGTTCGTGGCCAGGCTGGATGGGGCCCTGAGCAGTCTGAGCTGGGGGGGGAAACCTGCCCATGGCAGGGAGTTGAAACAGAGTCGGATTTAAGGTCCCTTTCCACACAAGTCATTCTATGATTTTATGAGTCTATAGTTCTGTGATTCTATGACTGTATTTCTTCTTGCTATTGATCTGTATACGCCTTAACTTGACTTCAGCGTGGTTCCCATTTCAGTGACACTAAATGGACTTGCTCTCACTGGCTGGCCTATTGGTTTTGTTCCATATTTTATTGCTGGACACATACACAGATGTTTTGTTTTGTTTTGCTTACTTTTGACTGGCTTTTGTGTTCAAGAGTACTAGCAAACTAGGTTTGGAAGGAACACAGCATAGGGTAGGGAGAATGAGTCAGTCTGTGATTCTTGGCAAAGAGCTCTGTCCACTTTATCCATCAGAACTGACCAGAATCTTGTGCTGACCTTGGTACAAAACTTGATTATTCCCCTATTTTAATGGAGTAACTGACAGAGAAGCAACAGGGGAAAAAAAAACCCAAAAACAACACCAAGAATTTTTAGGATGTTTTGTGAGTTCAAAATCATGAATTGCTTAGGTGTTCCACCTTGTTAACAAACCATTAAGTGCAGTATTGATATAAACGCATATGTTCACATGCATTACTCAAAGAACCTTAAGTGTAAAACATTAGAAAGTATTACACGCAGTTTTTTCCACATAATTTGGAAAATAAGCAAACAACAAGAAAAACAACAAAAAAAACAACAGACAAACCCTAAAAATCTCTGTACTTTGACTGCATGACTAAGAAAAGGCGTTCTGATTTGGCTCAAGCATCAATTTCATGTTGTTTATATGAAGATAAAGAAAACACAGACATTAAACTCATAGGACTCCACCTCTAAATTGTCATGAAAAAAAATACTTCCCATGTGTTATTTTTATGTTTTTAATACGCAACTGGTAACAGAAATGCTTGATAAATCTCAATTTAGAAGTTCAGATAAAGCCTTCCAAATAACAACACACCTAAAATAACCACTATGCAAATGGCAGAACAATCTGTCTCTCCTGCATAGACATGACAAGATGAGGCAGTGTATCTTTCCACTGATCCCACCCTTTCATGCCGACTAACATGGTGGAGGAAATGTTTCTAAGGGTCTGCATTAATGCTAGCTGAACTAGGAATCCTCACAGTGTGTAAAATAATAAGGGAAATAACAAACTTCATTTTCTACACTACTGCCACCTTTTACCTTAAAATACTTAAAAATTACGTTTATGTTTGTTTCAGTATAGATAAAGAAATTGAATGAAGATCAGACTGCAGTCAGGCACACTCCTCCATGAATTTTCTGGTATTAAAATTTCTGCATGACTCTGTGGCTACTGTCCTAATTTTGGGTTAGTTCTACTTTTGGACAAGCAGCTGGGCAAAGGAGCAAATTTTGTCACTAACATACAAGTATTAGTATCACCACCTTTCAGACGTGTGGGAGGACAGAAATGGCCCAAAGAAATAGGAACCTTGGAGGCTCTTCAGTCCTCACAGTGAAAGGGCTCCTTAGGCCTTATTGCCATCACAGCAGAGGAGAGCACTGAGATTTACAGGCTGGAAGTTAAACCTTATTTTGAAAAGTGATCCTGAAGATGTATTGTTCATGCAACAATCCCCATTAGCCCCAAAAGGAGAAGCAGAAAAGCAGAGAAGAAATCACAGCATTAGCATTA